TAAAGTTTTTAAAACATAGCTTACCCTTTCCCAAAAGCTTTCATGACTGGTCTATTGTGCTCTCCCATGAGACACTCTTGTTATGTTTAATTGTAACTGAAGCTTTTGTTTGAAACCGTAAGTGCTAAACCTTTTGGAACAAATGCATACTCATTTTACGCAGAATCCTCTTGTTTAATGATTATATGTACATGCCTGAAGTGAGCAATGCAGAGCTTTAAAACCATCTTTGTTTAATTTATGTAATGAGGTATTTTTGACAATTATAAGGATAACAATTCAACATAGATTTACACAGGTTTTGCCTAGTGTCCTGAAGTATTGCAGAAAAGGTCCCCGTAAAGCATGTTTCTGTCTTTAGACAAGGTCTCCTTAATGCATATATGGTATGTATATAAATATATAGAAGTGGTCTCCTTAAAACATGTTTATACATTGTAATTATTAAGGAGACCAATAATTTTGTATATTTATTGCTGTGTGTTGTTCAGTGTGAAAATAACATGTGTGCATCATTAATGCAAATACAGTGTGAAAATACTAAAATACTCTAGGTGACACCAGAAATAAAATATATACAAAAAGTCCCCGTAATGCAGATAAAAAAAATGGTCTCCCTTTTGCAGTATTCAGGGTTATATATATATATATATATATTATATATATATATATATATATATATATATATATAAACAATTTTCAAACATCGAAGAATGTGTAAAATATGTACTGCAAATATTTGTGCACATTATATGTAATCATTAATATATATGCATTCATTTCTTATTGTGAAATTTGACTTAAACTTTATAGAAAATAGATTTTTATTACCTCCCTTTATTTACATGAAATGTTAAATTCGGTAATTGATATTTTTATAAATAATGTTTTATGGAACCTACAATATTGATAAATCTTAATTTGAGCATCATATTTATGATTTAAAACCATAAAAAATGAGTTATAGGATCTTTAAAGATCATCAAATTAAGATTTTAAAAATTGTTTTATTTGCATAATTATGTACGAATATATAATTCACTTCGGGTGGTTTACCTCTTTGATCACAACATACAGGATCTTTAAACTGAAAAAAAAATATTAATTAATATTTTGTGCAAGAACTGACATTATCTGATAAAATCATTAGGTAGCTATTCATCCATAAAATGCCACTTCTAAAGACATGTGACCTAATCATTTTACATGGCTTTGTGACGTAACAACTAAAAATGTGACGCGCTGAAAATAAGTACGAAAACAAACTCTGGCGAAATTTAGCTTAAAATCAGGTACGGGAGCATTTATTTGATGATGTCGTGTTAGAATCGAAATAATATATATTTCCAAATCGGTGATTTTATCGCTTGATAAAATCACTGTTTGTCGTTCGGATGCGCATCATTATATCACTCGAGTTACGCCCGCGTGATATAATTTCTCGCATCCGAACTCCAAACAGTTTGGGATAATTATATTATTTCTTAAATGTACTGTACCGTTATAGTGTAAAACTTTTATTTGATATAGATCTAGTGGCAACAAAAAGAAAGTAATAAAAATTGTTAACTTAAATATAGTTGAAACGGACAAGCAGTCTTCCTATTTATTAATTAAAGACGTAATTTGAAGCATTTTTGTGGGTCCAAAAATCCGTATAACGGATACGGGCTATGTGCTGTATTGGTCAAATGCGTTACTCGAGTTACTTCCCTTATACACAAGTACGCCATTTGTGACAATAAAGACGCCTGTCAAAGGGTAAAAAAATTAGATAGATTTATACTAGATCTTTCTTTTTTCGTTGTTGAAATATTTTTTTGCTTTCGTCTTAAATACGGAAATCTGTTATAAATACGGAATGAGCCTACTATCTTATAAACCTCAGAATATCATAATTAGATATCAAATGAACAACACTAGTGTGATTTGCATAAACAGCTGTAAACACTGATGACTAATAAATAGTTATTCCAACTAATTGTATAGTTGCTATAATTTAAGATAATGACCTATTTCATTATTGTAATAAATAAATAGGGCCTAAACAAATAAATAAATAAAACAAAGACAGTACATTTACAAGTTCAAACTTCTCTGTGTAGAATTAGAAACACTATGGATATTGCATTAATTGCCAAATACATTAATAAGCAATTTCCTTATCTTTATACAATGTATAAACAAACAAATGTTTTAAATCATGCAAAATTATCTTTAATTAATTAAGGTGGAAAATAGGAAATGAAGATAACCATCCAGTTATTTTCTATTGTTAATGTGTGTGAATGCCAGAGGCAAATTAGTCATGTGACCTATAATTAGTTAATGACTGTAATTTGTGATATGGCAAGTAAGTATGTATGTGTATGTAAAGGTAAGACAAAGTGTATTACTAAGCTGAAGGTCAAGTTTATCTGACTAGTGGGAGCATGCATTTAATTATTGTCATTTCTCTTTTATTAATACAGTGGATGTAAAACATTTTAGTTGATATGTTATTGCTTTATGTTATTTCAAGGTCATCTAAGTACAACAGTTGTGTTGGAGAAATAAGAGAAAAGATATTGGAATGAGAGAGAAGACAGTGTAATGGGAGAAAAGACATTGTTATTGAAGGCAAGACAATATTATCTATAGATATTCCTCGTGATTTCTAGGAAGTGATTTGTATTACTAAGGTAAGATTTTACATGTTACCTCTAACTAAGGGTTATGAGCATTTTGACTTGCATTTGTGTGTTCGTTCCACTGCCATGCTTCCTGTCTGTAGTTTAGGTTTATACAGAATTTATTTAAGTTTGATTGTTTAGGAACCTATAAGCTTATAGACACACTTTTGAACCAGCCATAAGTGTAAAGTTTATTAGTGAAGAAAACTATGACTTGCCCCTGACACGGTTTGAACCCATGCGGTTAGCGCTCATTAGTTTTGCACTCAATGCTAGTTGAGCTTAAAAACACTTGCATGCTCCATTTTGTCTTAGTTGGCAAAATGTTAAATTGGGCTCATACATACCCAAAGGGGGCCCCTTTCTAGTTTTATTTGTTTTTACCAGACTTTGGCAATTAAAAAGATGCAATTTTTTAGGACAAAAAAAGGGGTTTCAGGAATTTGAAATATTTTAAAGGGTTGCCGAAACTATTTTCCACCTTTGTTTTTCCGCTTTATAACAACTCCGATAAAAGGCCCTTAAAATTTTAATTTTTTTAAAAAAATATGCGTTTTTTCCCCTTTTATCAGAACCAACCTGCTTTTTTATTTTAAATTAGAAATTTTGAATAACCCCTTAAATAAAGAGGTTTAAAAATCTTTAATTTTAGTGAGAAAAATACTGCCTCTTTTTTCATATAATTAACTCAGTTTTTTAACCCCTTGATAAATTTTAAATGATTTGGGGGTTTGAAAAAAAAAATATTTCACAAGGATCGGAAATTACCCGGGTCTTGCCAGTTTTTTAAACATTAATATTTAAATACTCATCTTTTTAAACATTAACCATCTTAAATTGCTATGTCCATCTCTCAAATTCTCAATCTGGTAAAACAATCCATTATTTGAAAGAAAATTTCAAAAGATGTATTGTTTGTTTGTTTGATTGGGTATTTAACGTTACACTGACACAGTATAGGTCTTATGGTGACGTTCCAGCTTTACTGGTGGAGGAAGTCCTCAGATGCCCCGCCCTGTATTATTTCAGGCACGAACGGGCACCTTAGTAGAACCATCGGCATTCCGTAAAGCTAGCTAAAAAATAGCTTCTTACATGAAAAGAATCAAAGTCACCCCTGTCAGGATTTTAAACCACTAAGTGGTGGGGGAAGGGTTTAAAGTAATGACCTAACCACTCAGCCATAGACTCCCAAAAAGATGTACTGGACTGAAACAGTGCAACAGTGGCAGACCATGATACAGATGGCTTGTAATGCAGGGCTATTCAAACTTCACTGGTTCACATGGGCTAAAAATTTATTGCCAACTTAGGCTCAAGTAAGGGTAATACAAAAAACACGTTTACAGTTTTTTGAAAAATACCTATCAGAATGGGACTTTTACCTATAGAAAATTAAATAGGGTAGCATCAACAGATTTGCTCTGCGTAGTATAAAGGATGTCAACAACAAAAGCAAAAATTGAGCTACATGTATTAAGTCTTGTTCTATACTGGTGGTAAGGGCTAATCACATTTGGTCAAGCATATAAATTGTTAAAGGCCCATTATTCCCCAGAATTGCTAGTAATATTACCACAGAGCTATATTTAAATGGAGAAGAAGCTATGATATCATACAGTTTGTCTAAAAAATCTTATCAGGGATTGATTAACCGCAAGTTCACATTTTTGTAGAGCTGTCATCGATATCGACAATATCGATGTTTCGTTGATATTTTTTTACCGATCAATAATCGATACACATTTTAAAAAATCGATACTTTTGACTTATAAATTATATGTCTAGAAATTATAAAATTCACCCAAAATATATACAGAAGCAGTTATTTATATCTAATGTTATGCTTTTGTTATATAGTTGAATTATTTCATAGCAATGGTGACAAAAAATATTGTCTGGAAAAAATCATGCAGTGGACAAGACACTGTACAGAACATGTTTTTGACTGAAATCATTGAAACAGGTCTGAAAGAGAATGACAGACAAGTGAGTATAGGATATTATCGATATATCGGTGTATCGTTGATTTTAGTCACTTGATATCGATATATCGTTGATGTGCTTTGCACTGAATCAATGACAGCTCTACATTTTTGTAGGATTTTCTGTGACAATGTTTGACACAAGTAAATTTACCGATATGTCCGCCGCAATATTATCTTCAATTTGTTACCGTAATCAAAGTAAGTGACAGCAAAGAAATTGCAGAATGTACATTTAGTTTTAATGTGACAGATAGGTGGTGCTATGCTGTCATTTAGAGATAGGAATAAAATTTCAAAGGTACGTACATGTAGATACATATAGTATAATATTGTTTCTAATATTGCAGGTGAAGATGACACAAAACAAAGACTGAGTATACAGCGACATAATCCAAAACCAGGTGCTGTTAAATAGTATTAAGATGAAGGGACTGGTTGTGCAAAGTAAAGAAAACAGCAAAATTCAACTAATACTACAGCTGTCAGAGCACACAATTGTGATCTGTATAAAGCATTTCTGAAAATATGTGATTTATTTGAAACAACCTGTTAACAACCTCTCTTCCTATCAAATCAGCATTGAAAATCACAGCATTGCAATGAAAAATGTTAGATTCAGCACAATTTTAAAAGTTTCAATACATTCAACATCAACAGCAATCAATTAAATATGGCAAGTGACAATGAACTCATTGATATTGATTACAAAGGCCCTGATACATCTTCTGTTTCCAAGGTTCCAGCATCACCAAGACAAGAGAAAGAATCTAGAAATAAGAAAGAATTTGTCTGTTCTCATTGTAAGAAAGTTTTCAGCCACAAGGGCAACTGGGTACAACATGTACGGTCCCACACAAAAGAGAGACCTTTTACCTGCAACCTTTGTGGAATGGCGTACACAAAGTCTTCCCATCTTCTTCAGCATAGGAGAACTCATAAAGGCATTACCAGGGAGGATAATAAAGTTACAAATCAACTATATGATTGCTATGTTTGTAACCGCTCTTTCACCTTGTTAAACTCCCTTAAAGTTCATATGAGATCCCACTCAGATGAACGAACTATTAGCTGTCATTTATGCGATAAAAAATTCCGACATAAATCGACTTTAATGAGACATTTAAAGGTGCATTCTGGAATAAAGACCCATTCTTGTGACCTATGTCAGAAGAGATTCTATGATGGGAGTGACTTGAAAAAACATATAAGGGTTCATACACAATCTAACAAGGATAACAAGGGTAGAAACAGATCAAATGTTATAGAAAAGTATTTTAAAAAGCATATTTCTAAGACAAATGAAGAAATGAGTGAAAAGAGTAGCCTGTTACAGAGTTTTGAATCTGTTGATGAGTTAACTGACACAAATGGTATTGGAAATGGTTCTGCTGATATTACCAATGATATTAAAGATGAGGGTAGTCTTGTTAATGAAGATAACATATTAAACACAAATGATGATCTAAATGCTGCTGACATGGATGCTGTTGGAAATGGATCAGATGATAGACTTAAAGATATTAAAAGTGAGGGTAGTCTGGTTAATGAAGATAGCATATTGAATTCATATACAAATGATGGTTTTAATAGAGATACACTAAAGACCTCAAATTCACAAATTAAAACAGAACCAGGACATAGTATTGAATATGTTACAGAGAGAAATGTTCCTCATGAAACTGGAGTGTCATGTACAAAGAGACATGCTGAAAATGTTCATACAGTGGGTAATGAGATGGAGGCAACATTGAATATAAAACAAGGAGACATACAAGAAAGTGATCTCATTGCAAAGCATTATGCTAGTGATACTGATGACACTTTTGAAAAGGATATAAGCATGTTTGAAAATGATACTCCTATATCTTTACATTTGAATAAAACCATAGCATTTCCGGATTGTATGAAGAAACTGTATTATGAAGATTATTTAGAAATTGGAGACGAGATTTACAAGGCTTCAGACACTGATAACAACATGAGTGGAAATGATTTAGGTAGACCTACTGCACAGCATGAGTCAAGTACACCTACTAAACAACATGAGAAAGTGGAAGGCTTTATGTCAGATGAGAATAAAGATGTGGATGCTGAAGGAAGTGCAATGAAGAAAGTATGCGATGAACCTATTATAATAGATGATGATTCAGGAGACAATGTAGACAATTTACAAAATGATCAAACAGGAGCCAGTGTTATTAATGAATTCACAATTGAAAGAACTGACTTTGAAAACAATCATTTGCTTATGAAATCTTATGCAACGGATAGGAAAGAAAGAGTGCATAGTTTTACTGATCGGTTAAATGATATTGAATCATTTACTTTAGGTATAGATTGTGAAATTCAACTTGAATCTAAGGTAGTGCATGCTGTTGTGACTGATTTATCAAGTGACTGTGAAGAAAATGTAGCACATGATTTTAATGTACAGAATTCTAAAGATATGACGTTTGAAGTTAATAATTCAAATGTCAGTGAGAAGTACAAGAATGTAAGTCCAAAGGAATTAGCTAATTTGACAAAGGCATACTGGGACATAAATAAAAATAGTACCATTGCAGAGTTACATAAAAAGATGTTTAAAATCTGTCGCAAAATGAAGAAAAAGGGGTCTAGTGATAAACGTTGCATATCAAAGTACGTTGTGATTGGACCAAAAATTCTGAATAGTAAAAATGTAAGTTCTTATCAAGAAGCAATAAGAAGGGATGAGATATATTTAGGAACAAGGTTAAATGTGCAGCCCAGGAAACGCTCAGCTATTGTGGAATCGGATATTGTTCCAACAAATAAAATATTTAAAAGGAATGATCAGTCACAGAATTTAGATGATTCAGAACATGTCCAACAAAATAATGATGATAACCAATCAGACAAAAGTGAAAAGCCTCACAATATTGAAATAGAGGATGATCTAAGCCAAATGAAGAAGCAATCTTATATGAACTGTTCAAAGTTGCAACCAGATAACACATCACTTGAAGAAACACCATTGCTGCAAGCATCCAAAAAATTAAGCTCACAACCTGAAAATACAAAATTATTACCAGAGGAAACAGCACTAGTAGAAACACCATTGCATAAATCGGACAAATTAAGTTCTTCAGAAAATGCACAGTTATTACTGGAGAAAACACCACAAGAGGAAAGACCATTGCTTAAATCTGACAAATTCAGCTATTACCAGAGGAAACAGCACTAGTAGAAACACCATTGCATAAATCGGACAAATTAAGTTCTTCAGAAAATGCACAGTTATTACTGGAGAAAACACCACCCGAAGAAAGTCCATTGCTTGAATCTGACAAATTAAGTTCTTCGGAAAATGCAAAGGTACTACCAGAGAAAACACCACAAGAGAAAAGTCCATTGCTTGAATCTGACAAATTAAGCTCTTCTGAAAATGCAAAGGTACTACCAGAGAAAACACCACAAGAGGAAAGTCAATTGCTTAAATCTGACAAATTAAGTTCTTCGGAAAATGCAAAGGTACTACCAGAGAAAACACCACAAGAGGAAAGTCCATTGCTTGAATCTGACAAATTAAGCTCTTCTGAAAATGCAAAGGTACTACCAGAGAAAACACCACAAGAGGAAAGTCTGTTGCTTATATCTGACAAATTAATCTTTTCTGAAAATACTATAGTAGTACTATGGCCACAGATTCCACCCCCAGAAAAAACACCACTGCTATCAACTGACAAATTACCGTCCTCATCTGGAAAAACTGAAGTTGCACCTGTTGCTAAATTGTCGAACAAAAATAGCATGACAAATAGTCATACTGAAAAGACAAAAAAGAGTAATTCTCAAGTAAACACTTGCCGACATTGTCAGGAAGTATTTAATGATCGTTGTTCCTTTCTGAACCATTTGCGACAGCATGTAAAAAATAAAGTGTACACATGCGAGGATTGCAATCATAGTTTTGACAAGTGGAGAGATTTTAGTCACCATAAATGCAGTAAATACGAGTATATATGTGCTCATTGTGACAAAGTCTTTCACAATGAAAAAATCCTAACCTGCCACATGGAAAAGAAGAAATTTCCATGCAGTTTCTGTCAAAAAATTGCTTGCTCTTTAGGAAAATTGCATGAGCATCTAATTACTCACTATCAATTTCAATGTTCCACATGTTCAGAGAAATTTAAATCACGCCATGCACTCAATGTTCATGGGAGAGAAGACACTTGCTCATCAGAAAATCAGGAAAGAAAACTCACTGAGGAAAACATGCAACAGATGAATGAAAGTAAGGTTAAAACGATGATTGGAAAACAGTCGGATGAAGTTAATAAAGAAGAAAATGTTAATATTGGAGCTATTGATAAGGACGATGAAGAGGTAACCAACAATGGTGGCACAGAATCATTCAATATCTGCCAAAATGGAGAAGTGGTAATTACATCACCTGAGAAGAGTATAACAACAGAAAATACAAATGATATAACAGATACTGTAAAACAATTCAGTTCATCTTTGGCAGAATGGCAGAATCTAGTATCTGCTATCAGGGAAGAAAACTCTGAAGCAAATAAAAAGGAAATCCCTAAAGGTGTGGAAAACCATTGTGCAGAAATTGACGCAGATGGGGATAATAGTGAAGGAAGAAGCGGAATATATAAAGATAATGGCAACAAAAAGGAAATCTCTAAAGATCTGGAAGATGATGAAAACCAATGTGCAGAAATTGATGCATCTGGGGATAATAGTGAAGAAAAAAAGAGAAAATATGAAGATGATGGAGATATTGCTGATGATAAAGTAACATGTGAAACAGGTTATGAGAAACAGAATCATTGTATGACAAACAGACCAGATCTAGGACATGATTTTGTGTCGGATAAAAATAAAAAGAAATCAACAATCTCAAAATTTGTCCAAAGGAAACATAGAATTAAAAAAGATAAGTTCATTGTGTCAAATGCATTATTTAAGAAAAAGAATAAAGGCAGTAAGCTTGCTGGTTGGAACAAAAACTTTAAATCAGTAACAAAGAAGTCAGTGGTTGAAAAAAAGCGGTTGAAAGAAAATGAAAATGAAAAAGATATCTCTGGAAGTGTACTGACAGATAAAGAAAAAACAGATAAAATGCATAAAGAAAAGAACAGTTTTAAATTTAGAAAAAATGAAAAAATAAAAGATAACCCTGAAGAAAGTACAGATAAATTGGAAGAAAAAATGGATAGTTTTAAATATAGAAAAGGTCAAAACAATTATAATATTGTAGACATCAATAAAAACTTTGGTGCCATAGGTGACAAGGCAAGTAATAATGTGAATATGAAAGGAGCAATCAGTCCTAACATGGTTGGTAAAGATTTAGACACAGTAGGTTATAACAGTGAAAGTGATACAAACAGTGGTGAATCTGGTGATGATAATAGTGATGGTTATACATCAGTTAGTGGTGATATCAATGGAGAAACTGATTTAGTATCTGATAATGACAGTGATGGGTATGAAGAGTGCACTGTGGAAGAGATACAAGCAATGTTAACTGGACATAACAAGCAATGAAGATGAATTTCACCTTAAAGCTCCGGTTGAGCAAAAATATTTCAAGAAAATCATAATTTAAAAAAAATAGTGTTAAAAAGATTCAAGATATAAGTAATAATTTACATGTTGAGTGTGATAAATGACTGATTTTGTAGTATTTATAACAATACTACTATTGCATGACTTACACAGTAAGGGCTATTTTTGACATATTTTGACCTCTTGTTGTAAATGCCATTTGCAGAGTGTAGATTCATGTCTTTGCTCCCTTCACACTATCTTATTTTTCCTGAAAATTTGTATGAATCTGGAGGCATGTTGCTTTAAGTGTTTATTTGATCAAGCATATAATATGTGACATAAAACTTGTTTTTTTTTCTATTGTAAGGACTGGCCATTTCATACGTATACACTGTTTAATCATTTGATGAATTGATAAAACTTGAAATACTTTTTTGAAAGTTATTTTTGATAATTTGATAAACTTGGTGTTTGTTGAAATACTTTTTTTGTACTTATTGTTGATAAATTGTTGGAATGTTGTACTCATATTGCGACATTTAATGAGAACAAAACAACTTATATCAGAACTGTTGTAATTGAGGTTGTATACTACACTAAAGTGAAATTATATCCATGTATATAGTTATGCTTATAAAATAATTTTCAAACATCGAAGAATATATAAAATATGTACTGCAAATATTTGTACATATTATATGAAATCATTAAAATATATGCGTTCATTTCTTATTGAAAAATTTGACTTAGACTTTATAGAAAATAAATTTTTTATTACCTCCCTTTATTTACATGTTAAATTCGGTAATATCTTTATAAATAATGCTTTTTGGAACTTACAAAATTTATAAATCTTAATTTTAGCATCATATTTATGATATAAAACCATAAGGAAATTTGTGTTACAGGATCTTTAAATATATTCAGATTTTTCATTCAGGGGAGGATAACTTAAAAACTTGGTAGCTGACCCCTTAAATTGTTGTTAACTTAAAATGTTATTATATTCTAAAACCATGCAAAGTTTAGATTAAGTTTATTATGTAGTTTTCATTCTATTTTGTGTCTACAATTTATATGTAACCTAGTGTATGCGTTAAAGTTAATTTTATCATAGTATAAACTAGAGTATGTGACAAACCATGTATTGTATTGTATGAGTTTATAGTTTAGCCTAAACATATCCTTAACATATCATATTCCATAACTAAATTTTATTATATAGTATGTTAGAAATACAAGTATAATTATACTGGACATATCAGTTACAATTATTATTGACTTTTATATTTTATATTATGAGTTATGTAATATGACTAGTTTTATTACTGAAACCAATTACTTGTTTAAAGCTGCATGCCTCAAGATGAGCAAAAATATTTCAAGAAAATTAAGCTTGAAAAAGATATTCTGACTTTTTTGAGAAAAGTAAAAAGATTCAAGATTTAAGTAATAATTTACATGTTATGTGCAATTAATGACTGATTTTACAGTATTTATCACCATATTTCAACTGCGTGACTAACACAGTAATAGCTATTTTTGCATATTTTGACCTTTTTTCGGGGGGTAATTTACAAGGCTTGTAAGATTAAGTGCTATTTGCCATGTGTAAATTACGTTCTTTGTTCATATCATAATATTTCACTTCAAAATACGTTTTCGAAATTTTTATGAAAAATAAGCATTAATCTGGAGGCATGCTGCCTTAACCTGCTGGACCGAAATTGATCAGCCTTTGCCACCAGTATAGCACTTGGCCTTTTGAACATCTGTACACATAGCTATATATAAAAGTCTCTGATCTGTTTTTACGTTTTGATATTAAAAAATTAAGATAAATGTATTTTAATATTAACAAATTTTGACTTAACTGAATTAACACTTTTGAAATTCAAAGCCGGGTAAATCGTTTTTCAACTTTAAAATGTTAATACTGTTATTTTTTGAGCTAGCCTATTTTTCTTACAGATCCTTTAGTGCTATGAAATTTATGCTTTTTTAAGACCTTCACTTGTATTTCTAGACAAGCTTAAAGGGACTCCACTGATGTTTTTAATATGACGGGGAATGGGGAAAAAAATCGAGATAAATATTCTATTTGTTGAAGGTCTAGACCAATAATTCGTGTGCATTCAGATCATTAATTTTGCTCACGCTTTAAATAAAAATGACTTTCGTAGTTATCTGATTACACACCTTTTAGAAATTAATTCCAATTCTGATAGTGAACAATTTTTGATTTGAGAATCTTTGAGTATAAGTAGAAATGTCCCTCAATGAAAGTTTAACCAAAAATGTGAATCAAATAAGATTTACTAAATGGTAAACCAATACCAACACTTCTGAGTGGTCATGATTAAAGTTCCATATGTTTCTTGGAAACGTGGAGCTTAGAATGAAATCGTTAAAAAACAAACTTACCCTTGTAGTTAAAAGCTTGTAATTAAAACATTAGACTCACAGAGCTTAGATTTAGGCATATAGCGCCACCTTGTGGTCTTTGTAGAATCAAGAGGTCCTGCCCTGGGGTTCATTACGTTTACGTAAACTGCACAGCTTTAATTGCATGTTGTTCATAGACTTATATAGGAAAACACATTTTAATATTCTTGTGAAAGTACGATTACAAGCTATAGAGCTTAGATATTTGGCATATGTAGCTTTGCCGCTGGGACCTCTGCAAAAGCTGTATGAATCATGGCCTTAGGGAAAAATATGACCAGACCCAAATGTGATCGAGTGACTTAGTTATGCATCTCAACTAGCTACACATGATCTCGTGTGAACTGTCGAAGGCAACCATGGTGCTCTTGTTTTTAGATTTCTTTGTAAAATAAATTTCTGTTCTGTTGTTTGTCCGTCAGTTTGCATTAACAAAAGTGTTTAGTTACATGACCTATTATTTTAAATCATAGTTTGTACTGCATGCAAGTTATCTATTTATTTGTTTGTTTCTTATTGTTATAGTGATTGAATATCAGGTGCTTAGATTATTTATATACATAAATATATTTTTATTCTTTGTAATCAATTTGTGTTTCTACCAAACTTCAGTAGGTGGCCCTCCACTAAAGTTACAATAGATGATTCTAGTACATGTTTTCAAAAGTGGCCATTCCCAATACTCTTGCCTTGATGATATTTACCCCCACTCATTTATGATTTGATGATGAAATATAAATAATAAAAATAATTATTATAAGCTATGAATTTTTATTATTTTATTATCTCCTACATAATTATGTATTCATATAAAAGCTGTTATATTTGAAATGTTTGTTTGCTTTCAATTAAAATTATTATACAAGTTATATACATAGAAATTAAATCGATAAAATGAAGGTAGTTTTGTTTATTTATAGCAATAGTATATAATGCTTCAATAGTTTGTAGATAGAACTTCCTTGGTCGAGTGTTGAGCTCGCTGACTTTTTAAAAATGTTTCCTCCCGTCCCCTAACGGAGGAAAATATCAAACTGGCTTACAGAAAGTTGGTGGTTCTACTGAGCTATCCAATTATATGCATGAAACAATGCACGAGAGCACTTGACGTTTTAGGTTTTCCTCTACGAGTAAAGCTAGAAATTCATCATAATTATGTCCTTCATATATAGAGGCGGTGTGATTTTAAACTCACCCCCTACCCTTGTATGTTCTATGAATACAGTAGGATATGAGCCGCGTCATGACAAAACCAACATAATGGGTTTGCGACCAGCATGGATCCAGATCAGCCTGTGCATCCGCGCAGTCTGATCAGGATCCATGCTGTTCGCTTACAAACCCTATAACAAGTAGAGAAACTGATAGCGAACAGCATGGATCCTGATCAGACTGCGCGGAGGCGCAGGCTGGTCTGGATCCATGATGGTCGCAAACCCATTATGTTGGTTTTGTCATGACACGGCTCAATTATGTAAAGGAATCCTATCAAATCATTGCAAAACTATCGTAAGCATCAAAACATGCACTAAATGTATTGTAGTACTTGCCCGTTATGGATATACTATGTTTGCATGACACTTTATGGGTTCTTCAACAATATACAATTTTGCGCTGGGTCTCAAGTTTTCATCATCGCCGTGTGGCATGGTTATTTTACAACATAACATTCACTGTGTGTAAGTTGCGAGGGCAGACAGAATGTAAAACAAAATTGGCGCATTTCCTCCTGGATATATCGGCACTTGCCAGGGATAGTAGAACGGGTTTTATATTTAACTAGTTCATCATTGAACTCTCTATTTATAAAGTGATTGCATTAAATTTTATAATTTTTCAAACATTGGAGGACACGACTAAGAAATTTTGTTTTGTTTAATTGTTTGCCAATTAGCCGTCAAACTGCGTCAGATTGTCAGGTTAATCGATCTGTGTAGCCGTTCAAACGATTAATACAGTCATATAAAGCGAGATAACTCTTCATAGGCAAGGCTAAACGATTAGACGAGTTACTTCCCTTTTGTTAACTGCTCTAGTATACCACAGCTGCAGTAAATAACACCGCTTAAGAAATTCTATACTTTATGGTTGGTTTGGCTCAATAACTCCATATCGCTAAGAATCGTCGGCCTCGTAACTGAATACCACTTAACTTTAATGAATAAAAAAGGAGGGTCGGTTGGTGTATTCGCTCATAGGATGAGACTTCAGATATCGAAACCTATCGGCTCAAGGTTACCAGCATGTTCACAACTCACGGTTTCATAGCCAACTAAGAACTAATGGTTTAATAAACAAATAAAAGTTACTATTAGTATCGGTTAACAATGTTTTCATAGATTTGGTTTAAACATATTTATTGCATATATTTTAATCCTACATTATACATACATTCAGTTTATAATACAAGCAAAGGATTTTGACGGAAGCACTAAGTGTTTATTAAAGTCAATCTCCATTATTGATAAATTACGTACAATAAAACTAATACATGGCTGGTAGATCTATGAGCAAGTTTATTGATTGTATACAAAATATGATATATTTATAGA